GTCCTCCTCTGGTTCTTTATGTTTAATTTTTGAACTTATAATTATTAAATTAATCAAATAAGTTTCATCCTTAAATAATTCTTTGATTTCTTTTTTTAATTTACTTTGCTTGGCCGGATAACTTCCTTCAGACCAATATGTCAATGCTGCTCGAACAACCTCTCTTACAAAAGCTGTAAGCGTACCTTGTGATAATTGTCCTATAATATATATTGCTTGTGATTTTTCAATTGGTGAAGTTTTCACCAAATTATAAATCCCAGATACAAAACCAGATTTAGTTATCGGTGAAGTTTGAAATGACACCTTTTCAGAGCTTTTAATTGAACTTTCAACTGACGTTGATTGAAAATATGTAACAAATCCATTTTTGAGTGTTTCCCCAATAGTTGAAGGAAGGTAATTCTAATAATCATATAGAGCATTATTCGAAATTTTGAAAATTAAATATATATATATATTTAAAAAAAAAATGTATTTCAGTTTCCTACTTTGATATTTGTGATTGTTATTTCTGTTATTTTTTGTACCTCTAAATTATCAGAAGCGAACTCGTCAAAAATTTTTAATAGTGCTTCCTTTTCTTTTTCTGTGAACTTTGAAAATATTTTTGAGAATTGTGCTTCGGATGCTTTGCTTGAACGATTACCCATTTTTTTTTTATGGAGTAAAGAAAATTTTCAAAAATTACGTAACTGTAGGGAGAATGCCGATTATATATAAGGATGTCTATACTATATTTGGTAAATTTATCTTGTGTAACTTAAGTTATTATTAATAAAAATCAATACGTAATAGTTTAATGCTTAGGTCAAGAAAATTAAATTTAATGAATGATTTAGAAAGATTCAGGATCAAAACTATATTGCATAATATTTAAATAACGAGTAAACATCGCACTGAACTCTTCTTATGATCAAGAAGGATGCATAATGTGAGAAGGGCTTTAGAGTTCATTCATCAGATCAATAGGAACATTTTATTTTTTGTGTATTATTCCGTATATTATTTCTCTCTCCCACGCAAGTTGAAGCATTTGTATTATATTTAAAACTCAATAAAGATGTTTTAAATAGTAGGACTACTGTTTTTATACTCCACGTACCGGTAATTTAGAGTTCTGATTTTTGAATGCCATTATTTGTTATTTATTAACATAACGAAAACCCATCGCACAAGAAATTCAAAACTTTTAGCACTTTTTTTAAATCTAAATAACTGGTCAAGAAATAAAAAATTTTAAAGATTCCTTGTTATATTTCGATTCTACATTTTATCTTTAGTAGTATAATAAAACTAGTAGTTAGTTTTGCAAAAAGTAATATCAAAAATTCCCACTATCAAAGAAAGAAAAAAAAAAAAAAAAAAAGAGAAACAGGAAATTTGATATTATAGTACTAGTATACTACTTGAAATAATATTGTAGAATCAAAATATAACAGAAATCTTTGGAATTTTTATTTCTTGACAAAGTTACTTAGATTTATTCATAAAAAAGTGTGAATTTTAATGTTATTAAGACATATTCAAGTTATTGAGAATTGCTAATAAATTGCATATTGTGGATATCCTATACAACTTAAAGTAGAGGATTGAATAGTACCATTTTTCAATGAAAAAATAAAGCTATCATTAAATTTACCATTAATCCATTGATCCAACCCAACAGGATTATATCCACCAAGAATTTCATCAGATGTGTTTGCTTATCTCATAAATTCCTAAATGAATTACTAGTAAAACCACGAAGAAGTAATTTAAATTCATACGGATTATTTGTTGCTGAATATTTATCAGATTTCTTATCAATCCATGTAGCAATTTCAACTGCATTAACTTAATTAATAACTGTCGAAGGAATGGTATCTTACGGGGCGGAAGAACTATTGATGTTATTTTTTTATTTGGGTTAATAATTCTTTTAAATATATCATCCCGAAGATTTTTGTCAAGAATTTTTTCATATGGCTTCAATTTGTCAATAATATCTTCTTTAGAAATTTGAAAATAGCGGATATGAGGTAAACAATTCTTTAAAGTTTTCTTTAAGGTTATAAAATTTTCTCGAGACCAGTCATCAGGATCAGATGGTAAATCTGTACTTTGAGCAATTGCCCATCTAATAACATTTGTCCAAATTTTCCCTTCTTCCATTTGTAAATCATCTCGTTTAATTAGTGAGATTAACGCATTTTCTGGAAATGAGGTAAACTCTTCTGACTCAAAAAACTTATCCGGGTACTTAGCCATAATATTATTGCACCATATTGAAGTTTTTCATTTTGTAAACTTTTATTATAAACTCGTTTAAGATTTAAACGAAGCCAATGTGTGTTTTCTTTAATTAATAGCGTTTCAAAGTGTTTGACTAATTCGTCAAAAAGAAATTCAAGAGCAACAAGCATTAGTTCAAAAATAAATGATGCGTCTTTATTATCTTGATTTTCTAACAAAACCATTCCTCCGTAAATATATCTTTGTTAAATAAAATTAGTAACTTAAAATTAGTAAATTGTAAATATAATATTGAATGACTATTATTTCTATGGATTTTAAAATTGATTCTTTTATTTAATTCTTTAAACCACTGAAAAATATAACTTACTTAATAATTATTTCAAATTGTTGAATAGAAAGATGTTTTAAATGAATTATCTTCATATTATTTTTATCTTTATTAATTTTTGCTAATTTATTCTTAAAATATAAAGATCTATATCTTAAAATATTTGAGTGCGCTTGGAATGCCTTAGTTTCAGGTGATTTTCCGACATTTATAAT